GGATCCAAGTTCAACTCCAGCCTGGGGTAAACGGGATCCTGTTTCAAAATAAAAAGTGTGTGTGTGGGTATGTGTGTGTACACATATATACAAACACACATTAATCTTTCAAAATTATTTTATCTCATCCTATATATATGGGTGCACTTCCTGAATATATGTCTGAGACCCACATTTGTGCCTGGTGCCAGAGGAGGCCAGAAGTGGATTCCCTGGTACTGACTGGAGTTACAGACAGTTGTGAACTGCCTTGTGGGTGATTGGAATTAAGTCTCAGTTCTCTGAAAGAGCAGTCACTGCTCTGAACCACTGAGCCATCTCTCCAGCCCCGTATATATCCTTCTTTATTTAGCACATATAGCTACAAGCAATGCCAAAAATTCTGAATCGGCAGCTATACAGAATACAAATCCATAATGCTCGCCCAGTACTATCCTTTAATGTTTCTGAGGTGATTTCATTTATATGATATCATGTAAAAACAATTCTAGAGGCCAGGGAGGGCAGCCCATGTCTGCAATCTCAGCACTAGGTAGGTGAAGTAGGAGAATTTGAGTTCAAGGCCAGATTGGACTATGTAGCAAGTTCCAAACTCTGTCTCAAACAAAACCAAAACTGGCACAGGGACATACTCCACAATAGGACTCACAAGGCACTGGGACCCAGTCCTTAGCACCATGCTTGAGAGCGAACGCCTATAGTGCCAGGACTGGAAAAAGTCAGAAGACAAGAGAGGAAGCAGGGCTTCAGATCATTCTGGGCAGGGATGTGAGCCTGGGGTACACAGAGAGACCCTGTCCCCATGAACTAAAAAAAAAAAAAAAAAAAAAAAAAAATACAACCACCAAGACATCCAGGTTTCCACGTGGGAAACACTGTATCACACAGAGAATACTCAATTATGTTGCTATAGCTGCAAACTGGGAAATACCTCTGAAAGGAATAAGGTTTTAAAGGAGCAGAGAAGAGGCATGTGGACTGAGAGAGTGGGTGGTACTCATAAACAGGAAGTCAGGTATGGTAGCTCAAACCTGCAATCCCAACACCTGAAAGGCTGAGAAGGTCACTGTGAACTCAAGGTCAGCAGAGGCTACCAGGCAGGAACCTTCCTCAAACAACTGGGAAGGAGGAAAAAGTAGAGACAGTGTTGTTGTTCCAGGTGGACAACTTGGTAAACTGATGGGACTAAGGGCCATTCCAGGGCCCTGAGAATCGGAGTCAGTGATATACAGGATAACTAATTAAGCTCCCTGGCTCATTACCCTGTGTGTATCAGTAGTGCAAGGGCTAAGTTAGGATAGAGTTCTCAATGACGTTCATGCAGAACACGAAGGCTACTTCTCTCCTGAATCTGGTACATGTGCTCCTAGTTTGCTGAAATCACCAGCTATGGTTTGTTCAGCGCGTATTCTCAGTGAATGAGAAAGGAGTAAAGCCTGGTATGTCTCTTCACTGTAGCCCAGAGAGGGACCTGATGTTCCTCGTTACCCCACATAACACAGAAGGAGGAATGCCTCCTTCCTTTGAACAACATCCCATTTCCCAACAATCTGGCACATGCACCTGTACCTCATAGGAGGAAAAAAAAAAAAAAAAAAGCTTCCCAGAGCAGGTACTATATTCACTATGCTTGTTCTCCTAGGGACAAGTTCCAAACACAGAAACCAAAAAGCTTCCCGTACTGGGAAAATTCTTAAGAAAACGTTCCAGGTGGTTGTCAGCCAAGCACTGAATCAGGAGAGAGAGAGAGAGAGAGAGAGAGAGAGAGAGAGAGAGAGAGAGAGAGAGAGAGAGAGAGAGAGAGAGAGAGAGAG